GATTATATCTAGAGCCGTCAACTGCTTTGTGATTAAGTTGTACTCCCTCCGTAACATATATATGTTCCCATTTAAAAAGTAGGTAGATTAAGAATAGTGAAAGGAGATATAAATTATTGAGGGTATGATTGGAAGATAGTGAAATAATGTGTTGGAATGAAAGATAAATCCAAAAAAAGTAGGTGTAATAGTGTATTATTTTTAAAATTATTGAGGGTATGATTGGAAGATTATGAAATGAGAAGATATGAATGTTACATCCAAAAAAGGAAAGTGGGAAGATATAAATGTTACGGAGGGAGTAATAATGTAAGACTGTGAATTCTATTGTAAAACATTTGCTATAATTATTCTAACTTTATTTAAAGCTATTCTCTATTAAAATAATCATGCACTGGATCAGGATATGCATTGAAGGTATCACCAATATCACACAAATTTTGATGTAGGTATATCATTTTTTTTAAATAAAAATCACATGCACAGTTGCACACATGTGAAACCCTCAGAAGAATTAATTAATCGTTCGCCTATTTAAGGCCTTCTGGCTTTCCATTCTTCCAAACATACCCCATAAAATTGCACACAACTACTTTATCCTATCCCAGATTTCTTTCCACTTCAATGACTCCTCCATTCATTGAATTGTCTCACTGTTTGTTACAAATACTTACTATGCAGGAAGGTACCGGTGGGCGTAACTCAACTGGTAGCGAGGGAGTGACACAAGGATTAGGTCTCGGGTTCGAATCTCGGCAATTGTGATAAGAGATTACTATGCTAAAAAATGCATGCATAGGGCCTCTACAAATATCGGGGACGGGGCTCCACTCTCTATCTGTCAGGTTGTGATTATAGTCCAACTTACATCCTCCCATCGTGCTGTCTGGTCGGTGTTGGGGGCCCTCAGAGATGAGATGTCATCTTTCTTTTTACTTACTATGCATAAAGGTGTATGCTGGAGTCACGATTTACTTGTTTACAAAATAAGAGTAATTATTGACAAATTTAAAAAATAATGTCATATTTAAATATCATTAATACCAAAATATGATACTCCGTAGTAATTAGTTCTATTTAAAAATAAAAACATAAAATTTCTATTTTAGATTTTTGGAATAGGCCTAAATTTGACATACGAAATAAATTTGGTGGCCCTTTTTTAGATGTAGGTTTTGTTCATTGGCACCAGTTGCGAATGGATCAGGCCGAGGCTCTGATTAAGATGGGTCTGAAGCAGGATCCTGACTATCCTCATCCACATCATTTAATAAAGTTCATTTTTATTTATATACTCCGTATATTCTTATAAGAGCAAGGGTGTGGTCTCTTACACACCCTTACACATAGATCTCATTTTTTATCTCATAATTTTTATGTGTAGGACCCACATATTTCCTAATTTATTTTCATTTTCATTTTTTATATCACTTTTAATCCACTTTTCATCAATTTTTCCTCCTCGAATCCCGTGTAAGGTCCATATATCAACCTTGTCATAGACCTTCGTCCATTTTTACTTCTATCTTTCTCCTCTTTTTCATTTTTTCCTACAACCACTTCATCCAAAAATTTATTCTATCTCTGTCTCTATTCTATGCCACATCAACTGCAATGCACTTCTATCTTTATTTAAGGACAATATTTTTTCACGCAAAATCATCAGTATCAAGAGCCCGTTTAGTAATATCCAAATCGACTGTATTGACTGATTATATTGAAATTTATAAAGTTCTGAATGAGGTCACTGGATAGACTAATTATGCTAATTTATGGGAAAAATATCTTTATAATATTTATTTTATTAATTAAATAAAGATAAAGTTATATGGAAAAATAGCTAAAATGATCCTCTATAGTAACTTCAGCCAATACAGTCGGATAAGTAATTTTAACTTTATATTTTCATATTATTAAACAATTCAGCGTGCGGAATCAAAAGTTACGTATTTGATAAAAAATATGACCGATAAGTTAGATTATTCGAAAAACAGAGTCACCAAACAGGCTTTAAGAATTGACTACTCCCTCCGTCCCATAAAATAGTTCCCGCATTGACTTGGATCGGAGTTTAAGAAAGTTGGAATAAAGTGGAAATGTATGGTTGTAGTTGTGTAAAAAAAAAGGTAAATGAATGTGAGCCACACAAAACTTTCCAAAAGAGAAAATGAGAACTATTTTTTGGGACGGTCAAAAAAGGAAGCCGATAACTATTTTGCGGGACGGAGGGAGTATATACAACATTAAGAATTGAACGTTCTCCGCTTGAAAGGTAAAATCGCCTGCTCCATCTTCATTACTCCCCATCGAACAAACTAGTGGAAAAGTAATGGAGTTTTTCCCAAACAATGGTAGTTTTCAATCTTATTTCCCAAAACGGGTTAGTTCTAAACTTATTTCCCAAATAAGAGTACTTTTGTCTCGTCCTCCGCCATGTCAGCACAATTGCTATGTCCACCTATGCCTTGTCAGCATGACGGCCACTTCACATATTCCACGTCATCTCTTGACTCTCCCATATCATCTAATATATGGGTGCTAAAAAATGTTATACAAATCGTGGGTGGGAGGAATTGAACCCATGCTGAAACATATACAACATAAGCCGCAAACCACTAGGCTAATTCATTCACTTTGCATAATTTCTTCCTTAAAACTCTTTTAACTATATGCATGTTAGGTTCTGAAACGCTCAAACTTAACTCATGTATTACTCGTATTTTGAAAAATACATTACTTCTTCCTCAAATAGTTAAACCATAATTAATTTCAGATAATCAATTTAAAATAAGTACACAATTATAATATACTAAAACTTAATTTTGGATGTGAAATTAAAATATTAAAAATAATTCAACACTAAATAAAATATATGTAAATAAGTGTCATGCTATACCCAAGCTCACACCAAATTTTTAAAAAGGTTATTATTAATTGAAATAAAGTGCTAATTTATTTATATTTTTATTCTTTATTTCCTTATTTATTTATCTATTTACTTACTTATTTTTATTTTTTATTCATTTATTCATTTATTTATTTTACACTTTTTATTCGTACTTATACATCGATAATATTTTTCAATAATGTCATATTAAGTTTTTTGAAAGAAGTATAACACTTTTTTAAGATAATTTTTTAAGAATTGAGTTGATCCTGAGCCAGATTAAGACGGTGCACATACTTTTTCTTCGTTAAATTTTACCAATATTTTTACATTAGTAATATTTTTAATGGATTATCTCAAATTAATTTTTTGAGTAAATTAGTATGATAATAACTTATTTACTTAGTTACTAATGGTTTTAGTAAATTAGTAAATCAGGCCGAGTAAATTAGAAAATTAATAACTTTCTAGTTTGTAAATATATATATATATATATACAAATAAATAAATAAATAAATAAATAAATAAATAAATAAATAAATAAATAAATAAATAAATAAATAAATAAATAAATAAATAAATAAATAAATAAATAAATAAATAAATAAATAAATAAATAAATAAATAAATAAATAAATAAATAAATAAATAAATAAATAAATAAATAAATAAATAAATAAATAAATAAATAAATAAATAAATAAATAAATAAATAAATAAATAAATAAATAAATCATATATAATAGATAATAATAAATAAATAAATAAATAAATAAATAAATAAATAAATAAATAAATAAATAAATAAATAAATAAATAAATAAATAAATATACATTAATACATAAATAAATATATGAATCAATACATATATAAATACATAAGTATAGAAATGAATAAATACATATAATTTTTGACACTTTATTTACATTAATAATATAAGTTTTGTTTTTAAATTTGGTGTGAGCTTGGTCATAGCATGACACTTATTTTGTTTAGTGTTGAATTATTTTTAATATTTTAATTTCACATCCAAAATTAAGTTTTAGTATATTATAATTATGTACTTATTTTTAATTAATTATCTGAAATTAATTATGGTTTAACTATTTGAGGATGAAGTAATGTATTTTTCAAAATACGAGTAATACATGAGTTAAGTTTGTGCGTTTCAGAACCTAACATGCATATAGTTAAAAGAGTTTTAAGGGAGATATTATGCAAATTGAATGAGTTAGCCTAGTGGTTTGGGGCTATATGTTGTGTATGTTAGGTCATGGGTTCAATTCCACCCAGTCACAATTTTTAGCCCCCATGTATTAGATGATATGGGGGAGTCAAGAGATGACTGGAATATGTGTCGTGGCCGTCATGCAGACAAGGCATAGGTGGACATGGCAATTGTGCCGACATAGCGGATGACGAGACAAAAGTACTCTTATTTGGGAAATAAGTTTAAAACTATCCCGTTTTGAGAAATAAGATTGAAAACTATCCTTGTTTGGGAAAAAATTCAAAAGTAATGACATTAAGATCTTTCCAATGATATAAATAACGCCCCAAACGAAATAAAATATAGCAAGATTTGATCAAATCAAAATTTAACACCAAATTTGGATCATTAAGTAACCATCGGATAATATTTTGTAAACAACACATAAATAGGAGTATTAAAAGTCCATAAGATTTTTTAATAACGAGATACACATTAGTTTCTAGGTAATTTATTAGGATCATTCTTGGTGTGCCCAAAATGTGCACAATTCTTGTGTACACAGGAATTTTAACATCAAATTTTGCCCTTTTGTAAACAAATTATCTGTACCCAGACAACTAAAAATTTTGTGTATAATTTGTTTATAACTCATGTATACTAAAAATTTTCCAGCGGACCTGCAAGAACAGTTGGCTAGCACTTAGATCGATTGTGATGAACCAAACACGTACCTACTCTCTTTTACATTCATCATCACCATTCACCCAACTTGAGCCATGGGCACACGGTACTTACGTGTTCATTACTCGTCTAGCCGGTTACAGGTCACTCCAATCAATCACTTTATTCTTTCATGCGTATTTATTCAAGCCCCAAATATCGAATCAGCATTCCTTTCATTCACTCATTCGCGGATGCCGCATTTTGTCCTCGCATCTTTACAATATTTACCTTTATACCATTCATTCTGGTTATGGTCGCTGACGTGTGCCGGAAGCTTGCTTGCGTTTCTCGTCGCCGTTGCCGGCGGTATTCCGATCTCAATTTCCGACATACGGAAAATTATTGAAGAAGACGAATCGGATCCGATGCCGAGTCCGAAGAGTCATCGGAAAGGAGGGACGGAGGAGAAGAATAGGAAGGGAAGGTTAGCCGAGAAAGCGATGTCCTTCAGCGGACAGAGCGGAGCCGGCAGCACGGCGGAATTGCTGCACAGGCCGCGGACGGTCCCGGACTTACTCGCCGGCCGGAGAACCTCTTCATCGCCGAATTCGGTGCAGTTTCAGCCGAAGCTCACGAAGTTGCTGATAAACGTGACGGTGCAACGGAGCACCGGCGCCTTGCACGTGCTGATTTCGCCGGAGTCAACGGTGGAGGACCTAATCGCCGCCGCTATCCGGCAGTACGTGAAGGAAGGGCGGAGGCCGGTTCTCCCCTCCGGCAACGCCGCCGATTACGGGCTCCATTACTCGCAGTTTAGCTTAGAGAGTAAGCGAATAATAAACGCCGCCCTCCGTTAAATAATTTCTGAGATCTAAACCGTTTGCACACGTTTTTGTACACTGACGTTTTAAACGTCCGCATGGATTCTACTTTTAGTAGTTTTTAAAATCAGAATGAATCAGAATATGTTTTCATATGTTACCATTCTGAACTTTTAAAACACTGCTTTAAGGAGTAAATTAGAGTATTAGAAATATTTCTATCCTTTTACTCAAACATTCCAACTTCTAGTCCTGCTCCTTGTTCCTTGTGGTTTCTGCTCCTTCACAAGGAGCAAGAGCAGTTTTAAGTATCATATCTAAGGGAACTCTTCCGGTAAAGAATACCTTACCGAATCCACCGTGCGACCTCCACATTTTGAGGGCCTTCCCACTGTAATTTTTCAATGAAATTTTTTGAGCATGTTCTTCATCAAGTCTAGTACATCCATACCAAATTTCAACAAAAAATTCAATCGGGAAGACAGTCAAATGATTTTTGGAAAATAACTGCACCCTTTATATACATATAAAACACAGTTATCTTCCAAATGATCGTTTGACTGACTTGATGAAGAACATGTTCAAAAAATTTCTTTGAAAAATTCTACCGAGAAGGTCCTCAAAACGTGAAGGACGCACGGCGGCTGGGGTAAGGTATATCTCCTTCTTTTGTGAAAAGAACTGTTATTTGTACTCACAAATTTTAGTCCATCCATATACAAATAAATTGTTTGTACTCAAACACTTTGGGCGAGTGCAAAATAGCGCACACAAACAACGTGTCAATTTGACCGGGTGTAAAATAGGATATACAAAAAACGTGTACACCAAGCATCATTACAAAAGTTTTGATTGGACCATTTTTTGTTTGATGTGAGCCAGGTTTGGACAGGAAAGAGAAGCTGAATAACTTGGGATCACGGAACTTCTTCATGTGCCCGGAGGTGGAAGCCGCCGGCCTGGAAACGACGTCGTCCTTATCTGGCAGCTGCTCCAAGGAAGCTAGCATTAATCCAGCGACGAAAGTTGGATTGTCCTGGTTCAAATTCATGCTCTGAAATCTAAGAGTTAAAAACCAGCAGGCTTGTATATATACATACACAAGAAAGTATAGATTAGTGTTCCATGGCTACTCTGACCATGAAATCAATTGCTCTTCCTTCGTTTCACAGTTACGAGGTTTGGTATGGCTCTTTGATTTTGTGACACTGGAATTTAGGTTCAAGTTCCAACCAATTGCATATTGTGGTCATATGTGAATATTGTAAATTTCTTTTTTACAATATATGCATTTAACTTAGAAAAAATTCTCTTAAGTTGTCTCAAAATAAGTGTCACATTTTTTTGAAAAGAAATATGTGGTTCACAATATTTCACTTTTATTATACTCCTTCAGTCCCTCTGTCCTCGAAAGAATGTCCTACTTTTTCAAAATGGAAGTTCCTAAATGAATGTCCTATTTCTTTAACTTCCTTATTCGGTAAATAAATGTGTATCAAACAGTGTCAAACAGTATCGCTACATGATGAAGTCAAATTAATTTCCTTAATATGTGTAAAGTCAAACTAAGACATTCTTTCAGGGACGGATGTAGTACTTAAATCTCAACTACAACTTTTATTTTTTCAACTATTTTATTTATAATTGTGCCAAAATCAAATGAGACACATAAAATGGGAGCGGAGGTAATACTATATATATCCCACTAACATTGAAACATAAATATGTGATACAGTTATTAAGAAAAGTATTTGTGTGTGGTTGATATTAAATGGGAAAGTTCCCGAAATAGGACTAAAACAGTTTGACAATTCCAAAATAGGACTGTCATGTTTTTTATTCCCAAAATAGGAGTAATTAATGTCAAGTTTGAAAAATACTGTCATGTTTGAAGTCTGGTACTGCCAAAACATGACAGTAATTAGTCCTATTTTGGGAATAAAAACGTGACAGTCCTATTTTGGAATTTTCAAACTTTTTTAGTCTTATTTCGGGTAATATCTCATATTAAATTGATAAAATAAAAATAAAGTAGGAAAAATTAAACCCATATAAATTTTGCCAAAATTGATATGAGATAGTGTTAGTGGGATAGAATGAAAAAGAAATATAAGTCAAACTTAAAGGGTTGGAGGGATTACTTAGTAACTAATAGGGATTATGATTATATTCAAATTTGCATAGTAGTAATTATATGTAAGTTGTTATGATGTAAATTTTGAACAAAATTATAATCACTAATAGTTATGTATTTGTCCATGATTTTTTAATTAATAATATTTAATGATAAATCCAATTAAATTATACTAGTATAAGAGGATTATGAAATTACTTTTTTGAAAAATATTATTCCCTCTATCCCGTTTTACTTATCACATATTTTTTTGGATTATCTCAAAATTAGGGCTGGGCACGGGCAGGGTCGGGGCGGGTAATGCAAAATAAAATGGAACCGCCGGTTCCATTGTACGGTTCGGTCTGGTCCGGGTATTACAATTTTCAAAACAGGAACCGGAAAGTACCCGGCCCGTTTGAAACGGGTCGGTCCGGTCCGGGTTTTACGGTTTCTATTCTCATGTCTTGAAATTATTAAAAACTCACGAAGTTCCAAAAATAAAAAATTAATATTATAGAACATTAGCAAGTTTCAAAATAACAACATAGTGGTGCACATGTAACACAAACGACAAGTCCAATACTCCATAATTTCATGTATATAAGTTTCAAACAATTAAAGAAATTCCAAAAATATGCAACGTAGCCAAAATACATATTTTCTAACATTTGTATTTAAACATGTTGTCTAACATCACATATTAAAGTGATTGCTTTTTTTTATATTAAATTTTCAGTATTAGCCAAAGTTGACACATACATGGTGGGTGGTAAACACAATTTCTATATTTTAAGAACAATAAAATAAAAAAAAATATATAACAAAATCATTTTTAACAAATAATTAAATTCCATAGAAAGGAATAATTCAATAACAATAAAAAGTAATAAGATATTTATGAAACATTTGATCAATAATTTGAAAACAAAAGGATGTTACTGCAACTCAATTAAAAATCCTACTTCTAGCAAAGGAAACAAAACTATTTCAAAACCGATTATCACAAAACTATTAATAAATTAATATACAATATATATAACGGGCCGGGCCGGGTACCCGTTTTTTTTAATTTTGGAACCGGTCCGGTTCCTTAAAAAAAATTACCCGACCCTACCCGGACCGTTTTATGGCAACAAAAAATGGAACCGGCCCGTTTTCGACCCGAACCGCCATTACCCGGACCGGACCGCGGTTCCACGACCCGTTTGCCCACCCCTACTCAAAATAAGTGTCACATTTACTTTTTGGAAAGAAATATGTGATCCGCAATGTTTCACTTTATTATACTTAAATCTTAGCAATAGTTTTTAGTTGTTCAATTACTTTATTAATGATCGTGTCAAACTAAAGTACAACACATATTTGACTAAAGTTATAGGAATATGACTATAGCATTAGTGTCACATAAATGTGAAAATTGAACATAAGATATACATTTACAAGATCATCTTTTTACGTAACACATTTATTTTATTTATAAATACGGAATACATAATATTTATAATGAAATTTATTCATACATTACAAGCTTCTTATTCGGAACAGATTTTATTAGAATGTTTATGTTTACATTTAAATTTCCTTTAAAATCATACTCTCTCCATTATTCAATACTTGTCTCTTATTCCATTTTGGGTTGTTTTTAAATATTGTCCGTCTTTACATTTTTAAAAAGTTTTTCAATAAATATATTTATATACTATCATTCTCCTTCCTACTTTTTCATTATCTTTCCTACTTTTTCATTCTCTTTCATACTTTTTCAATTAAACATAAATCCACTACATCTTTTACATTACCCATATTATTTTCTTCTTACAACCCGTCTCAAAGTCGGGAACAAGTATTGGAGAACGGAGGGAGTACTAAATTATGGAATTTATTTTTCTTTTTTGTAAAGTGTAAATAAAAACAGAAGCTGGTATCTCATGTCTTCTCAAAAACTGCTTTTAGAAGCATTTTGAAGCACTTTGAAGTATTTATGTATTTCTATCCAAATACTCAAATATTTGTTTCTTTTTCATTTCTTTTTTTATTTAATACTTCGGGGGCGTCTGGGGGAGGGGTCTGGAGGGACCTGGATTAAACTGGTTTGAAACTCACTCCATTGAGTTTCGAACATGAGACCTCCCATAAGGGAGAATGAGTCGACGACCAACTGAGCCGGACTGTTTCCTAAAAAAAAAATCAAATATTTGTTGATACTTCTTGAAGGATAAAAAACAATATACAGAAGAAGATTCTAACACCCTTATAAGACTAGATCCGACTAAATGTGACCAAATCACATTTAGAGCCTGTTTGGTAGCACAAAAGTCGGCTGATTTGGCAGATTCTGTTGAAATTTATAAAGTTCTGGCTGAAGTGGCTGCATTGGCTGATTCTGTTGATTTAAGAAAAAAATATTTTTAAAATATATTTTATTAATACAATAAAGAAAAAATTATATATAAAAACAGATAAAATGGTCATCTACAATAACTTCAGGCAATACAGCCAGAAAAGTAACTTCAACCTTACTCTTTCTGCTTATTACACAATTCAGCGTGCGAAAGTAAAAGTTACGTGTTTGATGAAAAAATTGGCCAATAAGCCTAATGAGTCAAAAAACAGTGTTGACAAACCGCCTCTTAGAGAATAATAAAATACGCATATCCTCCCTCACTTTGATTCGATTTTGTCAATTATACAACTTTTATATGTCTTATTTTATTTTATCTAATTTGAACTTGGCAAAATTCACCATGAAAATATATCAAACTTTTAGCTATTCAAACTAAACTTGGTCCGATATGATCTAGACAATAAATTGAAACCAACAAAAAATTCACAATGACTAAAAGTAATCAAATTTTCAATGATTAATCAATTTAAAAGGTGATTCTCCATATGGTGCTCATGTAGTCATGTTTTACATGTTAACATTTGGTAAGTTTTTTTTTGGAAGGAACATTTGGTAAGATCTTTTGTTTAAATTGTTAATTTTTTACGGAAAGTTTTTGATATGGGGTTTTGTGACTTTTGTCATGAATATTACTAAGTAGACAAAAAAGAGACATTTTTTCTTAGTTTCCACAAATCTGACTAACAAACAATTATTTGTCTATATTACCCTTCCCAGAGTTCATCCGTGCATTCAGCCATGACTCCATGACATTACGGGCTGGTTTGCAACAGCTTTAAAAAAGTACTTCTCAGCTTTTGGCTTTAAAAAGCACGTATTTACCAAACACTACCAATTTTTTACTTTTCTCAGCTTTCGTGTCAAAAGTGCTTTTCCCCGTTTTATACACAAAAAGCACTTATTTTACCAAACACTACAAACTTTTACTTTTCAAAATCACTTTTTTCTAAAAAACTATCAACTTTTACAAGTTTTTTTCCGAATTAATTCTAAATAAAAAATTATTTACAAAACTAAGGTCAAGTTAAAAGTATTTACCAAAATACTGTTGGGTTTAACCATGGTAGACCAAAGTTGCCAAACGGTTTGACGACTTTGAAGTCGCCAAACGGTTTGGCGACTTTGAAGTCGCCAAACGGTTTGGCGACTTTGAAGTTTGAAGTCGCCAAATGGTTTGGCAACTCTGAATGGGAACTACATCAACACGGAAGAGGAAGCTTAGGTAAGGGAATCATAGAAATAAGTGTGGGCCCCATTGCATATAAAAATCACTTTTTTCTTTAACGGTCCATAACTTTTTTGTTTTTGCTCCACTTTTATAAAAAAAACATACCAAAATTCATGATTTTTTATTATCTTTCATTTGACACTAATATTGGATATATAAACTTTAAAAAAAAAATTGAAGGCTTATTAAACAATATTCTTATTTTCCAATCTCCGTACGGATGATTTCAAAAAAATAATTACACATATATGACTAAAATACAGATTGTTTACAAAATTGTGACTAGAGCAGTAATGAAATTATAGCAATCTATGTTCTATTTTAAAATTTAAGTTAGCATGACACTACATTGTAGTAACTATGAGTCATATTTATGTAAATAAACTTTATTTTATTTAATTTTAGAAAAAAACTCTTATTCAATTTTTTTAAAAGTTTATATATCCAATATTAGTGTCAAATGAAAGATAATAAAAAATCATGAATTTTGGTATGTTTTTTATAAAAAGTGGAGCAAAAATGAAAAAGTTATGGACTGTTAAAGAAAAAAGTGGTTTTTATATGCAATG